AAGTACTCTCATATTGAGAGCAACTGGTAAAAACAAAATGGGCATCTGAGGACAGTCCCCTCATTGTTCTGTGTTGGCGTTAGCATTAATTGGTCTCCCCAGGACACCAGTTTGTACTCGAGAAAGAACTTAAAGTCTGTAATTTCATCACTGTGTCTCTAAGAGTCAGTTCTCATTTAGCCAGCAGAATATTTCTCAGTATTTCTGTGGCAGGGACTGTTTTTTTTTTTTTTAGTGTGTTATTATCTTAAGATGTGTAAATTCTTGGCAGCTGTCTGGATTAAATAAATAAACAAGAACAAAGGATGATATGAAATAAGAACATTTAAAAGGTCCATTACCTCTTGACTTTGAGCAATTGCCTAATTACCTCAAGTTCAAAGCTAATTTATGGAATTCCACATAATAATGACTTACATTTGTCTAGCGATAGGAGGTTTCTGGGGTGCTTTCATCTGTGGCATTCAGTCAATCAACTAGTCAGTCAATTAACAAATTAATCCTTCAACAGACGTTTCTTTAGAGCCTATTACATAACAAACATTGGCAAGCATGGTTTGGGGATTTCTAAAATAAATAAGACAAAGGTACTGCCCTGTAAAAGTCTTCAGTCTGGTGAGGGTAGACAGAAATATAGACAAGTAAATGAGGGAATTCCCTGCTGGTCCAGTGGTTAGGACTCTGTGCTTCCACTGCAGGGGGCCCAGGTTCCATTCCTGGTCGGGGAACTAAGATCCCCCCACAAGGCGCACGGCCAAAAAAGAAAAGCAAGTAAATGATGGAAACGTTGTGATCAAAGCTTGTATACACCTCAGTGGTGGAGGCAAAGGTGGCAAGTGGGCCATTCTCATTAAGGGAGGGGGAAAGTGGATAGGATAGCATTCATAGAGGAGCAGTCATTGAGTGAAGTCTTATCTGATTCTTACTAGTGTCACTATTATACATGGCTTACAGTTGAGAACCTGACTTGGGTGTGAAGCATCTTCTCTGAGGTGACTCTGCTCTTAAGATTTCAGAAGCAACTTGCATCCCACTGCACAGCATCTCTCCTGCACCCCCTGAGATTCCTGGAATGTGACTCTCATGTTCTAGTAGTGATGAGAAAGGGAAGGTAAAGCCGGAGAGCCTGAAAATCTCTGGATTTATGCCAGAGAGGATTATGGTTATGCAAAATGAGCTTGGTTCCCAGAGTTAAGAAGAAAAACAACTTGATTGAAAATGTTACTCATCCATAAAGAAAGGGAGAAAGCCAAACCCAAAGGCAGGGTTTAGAGCTGGAAACAATGGCTTTGTTAAGATTTACAGGCCTGTGGGATTTCTCAGTTGCATAGGGTATTAAGGAAGGTTATTTGAAAAATATTCAAATTACTTTGACATCGTTTTCCCTAGGCAATATGGAAACTCACTTTTTGGTGGTTGGGCCTCTTTAACATAAAACTTCGGAGGAAATGAGGTTTAAAAGGATGACCCACTTCTTCTGCTGTCACCACCCACAGACTCCAATTTAATTTCTTCCTTATTCTGTTCACTAAAAGTCACTAGTTTTTTTCATGGGCTGGATGCTTCTCTCTAGTCGTACTTTTGGTGTGGGTGGCCACATTTCACTAGGTTGGTGGCATATTGATTTGTATAAAGTGCCTTAAGAAGACACCCACATTCATTTAAGACAACAGTGGCAAGAATAACTTAATATTGGCACATATTTTCTTTATTCTCTGAAAGAAAGCTTAATATCGGATGTTAGAATGTAATACCATACAGAGATTTCTAATATGAGCCAGAACGGCCCAGATACTGTGATTGAAGGAGATTTGGTCTTTTTCTTTTCTTTGCCTTTGTACTTCATGTCATCACATAAGAATTAGGAGCTGGAGTGATACATTTTATAAATTATTAAATTGTAAATTTAATAATTAAGGAAGCAGGTATTTTAACTTACCTGAAAACAAAGTTCCATTACTCCAATGGACTAGGTGGCCCCTTATTTTTATAGTAGAAAATGTTAGAAAATGTTTCAAATACTCTCTTTTGGCCCTCACAAGAACTCCAAGGGGTGGCATATGAAATCTTTTTAACTGCAATTTTTTTTTTAACTCATGAGAAAACTGAGACCCAGACAGGTTAAGGCTAGGCGCTAGCTAATAATAATGCTTTTTGGTGTATCTTCTGGACTAGTGTTGCTTAGTTCTGTTAAAAGATAAACTGAGGCATATTCAAATTTTAAGAGTTTATTTCAGCAAAAATTGTTTTGAATCAAGCAGCACCGAATGGGAAATGGTTAGGATGCTCCCCATACGGGAGCTGGGAGAAAGACTTCTGTAGAGAAGATGCAGGGGAAGCAAAGCGAGGGAATTATCTGATTGGCTGAAGCAGTTGCATTATTTGGAAAAGCTGAATTGGCTGTCTGCGATTGGTTGTCCTTAGGTTTCACTTTCTTACCCTTGAGGCATTACAGGCTTAGGTTTTGGTTTGCTTATGTAGGCTAATGTATTAGAGCTGCCTCAGTCTAATGGTCTCCTTGTTTAATTGATTTAACCATTCTTTATATTATATTGCTTCTTTGCAGAGAAATTGTCTCATGGACACACACGGTGCCTCTAGTCCTGACCTGCTATTTCTCAAACGTGTGTGATTAGTTGCAAGGGAACCTTCGTGAGAAAATGCATGATTCTTTACCAGCCCATCCCACTTATAGGAAAAGTAATACAAATCATATACCCCAGTGGTACAGTAGTTTGAATTACTTTAATATACAAAGAGCAGCACATAATTAAATTCTAAGAATCAAGAATCGTATTTCTTTTACTGGGAACACCTGCATCAGAAGAGCTTTAGTCTGGATGAATACAGCCCACTAGGGATCCTCGTTACAACACTGTGTGCAGATTAAATTGTAGAGAAATAACAGAAGGAGGTGGTATTACCAATGTCAACCCATTTTCTCAGGCCACGCTAGCCTGGAGTTTTCAAAGGGGTCACAGCAATGGTAATAACCCGTATTTTTAGCTTTTTATCTCTTTGGCTATTACAAATCTCCATGTCCTCCCCACCCAGCCCCAGCGGAGTCCCACGGGTTGTCTCCTACATGCGCTCCAGTTCTGTCCGCCTCCTGTGGGTTCCATGATGCGTTCACTTCCTCCCTCGCTTCAGCCCCCGTGGTGGTAGGCTGGTTGCCCTCACAGGGGACACAGATTTTGCTCTCAGTTGGGCAGCCTCCCCTGGTACCGTTCTTGCCTCTGCCTCTGATTTCTCTCTTGGAGTTCTTGATGTGAGCCGGGCAGAAGCAGGACATGCAGTCTTCCCCCTTTTGGGATATGCATGGATCTCATAGCAGGGCAGGATTGTTAGTATGCCTTCTCTTTATTTTTAGATGGACAGCCTTCTCTTTTTAGCACTGAGTCCATGAGGGTAGGTAGGCCATGGACAGAGCTGGGGAACATTGAAACTGTATTAAGACCCTCACCTTGTCCCCCCCTTGGTTCCTCATGAAAATACTTATTAGCGTTTTTTGGCAGACGTTTATACCTATTAGCTGCCAGAGGAGCCCAGAATTTCAGCACAAAATAGAGCCTAGACTCAAGCTTAGGGGACCCCAAATATCAATATTTGTGTTCACCCTGGGGCTGATTTTTTTTTCCCTTCTATTTTTCTGTGCTCTCTTTCTTGTACTCTTGGCTTCTGTTTCTTTGGTTACTTGAAAAAATTTTTAAAATCTTAGTTGTTGAAGTGAAAACTGCTTTGAAAGGCAGAACACCCTAGGTGAGATCTGTCTCCCTGATGGAAGGGAAAGAAATGAAGGAGACCCACTGAAATAAAGTGAGTATTTCCAATCAGAAGAGGAATATTCTACCTCCCTCAGTGGTGAGTGACACCAAATCAGCTGGAAAGGGCTCTCATTCCTAGAGCTAAGGAATAAGGAATCTGGAGCTCACTGATACTGTACATACGAAACAAAACAAATCTAAACTGCGATAGAAAAGCAGCGTTTAAAATTAACCAAGGGAGGCAGAGCTTCCTGGATTTGGATGTGTGGGTGGCAAGTATCTGGGTGCACTGCCCTTATTTTACTGACCAGAGTGAGGTAAATAGTCCCTGCTCTGAACTGGGATTTTTGGGGGGAGCCGTTCTCTCCCTTTACATTCCCAGCATCTTCCTAAACCATCCTGAGTCCACGTCTTTTCTTTCTTCTCATTTTATTGGAACCTCAAAGAAGATCAGAGGTCACCTGACAATCTGAACTCTGTTTGTAGGAAGGTGTTTCTCAATCAAGACAACACTTAAAAGGCAGCACGACCTGGGGAAAAGAATGTAGTCAGCTGGCTATCAGGAGACCTGGAATCTTCTTTTCTGATAACTGTGCCACCTTACCTGGGAAGCTCCCTTCTCTACCTCTCATCCCTGCTCTCCCTGTCTACATCCGTCGGTCTGTTTCTTTGTAAACAGGTTTTATCTACGTGATCCCTCTTTCTCTAAAGTTCTGAGTATATAATTTTTTTGGGGGGGTGGTACGCGGGCCTCTCACTGTTGTGGCCTCTCCCGTTGCGGAGCACAGACTCCGGACGCGCAGGCTCAGCGGCCATGGCTCACGGGCCCAGCCGCTCCGCGGCATGTGGGGTCTTCCCGGACCGGGGCACGAACCCATGTCCCCTGCATCAGCAGGCAGACTCTCAACCACTGCACCACCAGGGAAGCCCTGAGTATATAATTTTGAAAAGCTCCTCCCACCCAAGGAGTTTCTTCAGACCCCAAGGAAAAGTCTCTAGTTGGGAGGGGAGATATTTTCCCATACATTTATTGAGCACCTCATATGTAACAGGTGCAAGTCACTATTCAAAGCGTCCTTTATGTGTGTCATTTAATCCTTAATGATGACGATAACACACTTATATAGAACTTCCTCTGTGCCAGACTCTGTTCTAATTAGTTTACATACATTCACCCATTTAAATCCTCATCACGAAGTGTATGAAGTTGGTAATATTATGATCTTCCTTTTGCAGGTGACCATTGAAACTTAAAGGAGAAACAAACATAGTGCCCTAGGGCCTAGGGCTGATCTCAATATTCATAAACCAGGACAGGACAATCATCTTCTCTTGACAGATGAGGAAGATGGGGTTCTAACAGGCTAAGGAAAACTGCCCACAGTCACAGAACAAGTAAGTAGCACACTTGGAAATCAAACTCACGTCTAATTTGTTCCAGAGCCCACATTCTTTCCATTTTGCTGCTTTGCCTCCCAGAGACGGTTTTACTTTGTCATAAACCGCAGAGCAGAGCGTGGCACTTTTAATGAAGGAAGAGTTTGCCAAATGAAAAGCAGATTAATGAGATATTTGGGATGCTTTGCAGTAAATAAGTCTCTTTCAGAATTCTCATCTTCTCCCACTCACATCGTTAAAGCCATAACAGTAACAATTACCTCAGCCTGGTTGAGGCCGTGTGGGAGTGTCTGTCGCCCTGGGAAGACACTGGGGACCCACAAAACTTCCCTTGAGCTGACTGAGCCATAGGTCAGAAATTGGATATATCAGAGGTTGGCTTTCCCCGTCAGAGCCTCGTCTTGCCCCTCCTGTTTTCTGGTTGTGTCTTGAAACACGGTTACTTGAGGAGAGAAATAGAGCTTAAAATTGGGTCAACATTAAGAATATTAGAAACGTCAATGTCAACCTGTTCTCCGAGACTTAGAGCACCATTTGAACATGATTGCCCGAGACTTGAGTAGAGTCTATCTTTTTTCTTTTTTATAATAGGTAATTTTAGCTATTCCCTGGGAATTAAAAAAATATCCCTTTGAAACTGAGAGGCCAGAGCAGAAATGTAATTATTTCTATATGATATACAACTGAGTTTAAAGCCAAATGCTCACATTTATATTCAAGAGGAATGTGTGTCTGCTTACACTGGTGTTGAGGGTCTGGGGGATGTGAAGACAAGGAAGTCCCAGGCCCTTTCTCTAAGAGCTAGGAATCTACTAAGGGAAATGGGGTGTAAGCTGTAATAATCTGTGCTGCGAGGGGAAGCATATCATTTACTGCCCATCCGCCACAGACCAGGCATTGTGTCAAGTACTTTATACAAGGACATGGCAAGGTGGATGTATTAGCCCCATTTCTAGGGGAGGAAAGCAAGACTCAGAATAAGTTGTCCTGGGCCAACAGCACTTTATGAATATGGCTGCGATTCAGACTCAGGTGGCTCTAATGACAGACCTGCACTCTTTCCCCTAGGATTTACTGTTAATTAGGCAGGATCCATTTAATGGTTTAACGTATTAGGTATCCTTCATGGTATTTAAAGATTCATGAAATTAGCTCACCGAGTTGCATAACGTTTTGAGATGACAATTTTTGACCTGGGGTATTTTGAGGAGTCATGGGCAAATCAAAGAATTTTCAGTTTTTTCAAAGGAATATACAAAACAGAAAACTTTACCCATTTCTTGTGCTTTTATGTTGGTGGGGTGAGGCTTATGGATGATCTTTGGGTGAGGGATAGAAGAGGTCTGGATAACCCAGATAGCTACATTACTTGGTAAGAAATAATGGTTTTGAAGTATGACTTGGCTACTTTAAAGTGGCTGTATCAGCTCAGTAGGAGTTAGCAGTTTGATGTGGCTACCAAAAAGCCAGTCTTAAGAGAAATATCTCTGGTGGGGGAGGTAAGAACCCCACTCTACTTTGCCTTGGTCAGACCTTAGTTGGAATACTGTGTTAAGCTCTGGGGAATGTAGACTAAGATAAATATAAAGCAACTAGGACACATTCAGGAGAAAGTTTGCATCACAATGTGGAAATGAAATCTGGACATTTAGGGAAATAGGGCTGTGTAGCTGAAGAAAAGACCTGAAGGGCTGAGATAACAGTCTTCAAATATTAGAAGGATTGTCTTATGGAAGAGGAATGTTGATTTTTTTTTTTTTCCTCTGTGGCCCTAAAAGATGCAACCAGAAGCAACAGGCTCTGGGGAAGTGGATTTGTCCTTACAAGGAAGAATTTTTTGTTATATCTGCCTAAATATGTTTTATCTGCCTAAATATGTTGAGTTTATTTTTTGTTTTGTTTTAGAAAGTGGTGGATTCCCAGTCCCTGAAGGTCCTAGGACATGTGCCAAGTAATTACTTGGTGGAGCCATGGCAGAGGAAATTCAAAGGTACCATGGATTGGATTTCACAAGCATCAAAGTCCTTCCCAACCCTGAGCATCTCAGTACCTGTGGACTGTCCTTCCAGGCTTTGCCTCCACCTTTGTCACTAGGGTTGGGGTATGTTTTGGGGGGATGGATAGATGGATGGGTGACAGGGGATAGGAAGAATGTACAATGGCAAAGCAGTTACTTGGTCCATTCAAATTTGGTCTGCCATTTTAAAATTTTGCCTTTCCTATATGCTCATTTGCTTGCCCTAAACTCTGGGCACCTGGAGGCCTTTGCTGTAACTGTTTGTGATCCTCAACATAGTACCCCATCTCATGCAACTGGGTTCTTATAAATGTTATTTGACAGTGATTTTTATCAGGTATCAAGTATTGTCAGGCTCCAATAGTAAGCAAATCTAATTTTGCCGTATGTACAAACTCTAGGTGTGTAAAGCTTGTGGCTGCCTCCCCTCTGTGGGGAAAGATAGAGCCTGAATTCTTTTCCAAATTTCAGTGAGATGGAAATTTCGGGACACCCATGAGACAGAGAACCAGTCAAAGGGCTTCACACTTAAAAGTAGCCTTAAAAATTACCCATATGCTAGTTGCACTACTCCCAGCTCCCTGTCAGGTAGCAATCTTCAACTGTTTTGAAAGATCTCTAGCTCTTTTTATCCCATTAAGGACTGAAAGGGATTGACAGAAGGTTTTTGCTCATAGTCTACAGCTGAACTCTTGTGTCAACAGTAAATATTCCAGCAGAAGGAGTGGTGGGGGTTTGATCATTTCACTGCTTTCTGCAGGGCAGACTCTGTGGGCTCCTGGCAACATCTAATCTTCAGTGACCCCAGTTGTCACACCCAGGAGTAGGTTTCTCTCTAATCCTTTTCAGAGCTATGAACAGCAGGGAAACATGATTTATAGACCAAGAGGCATTTTAATCATGGGATTTGTGAGCGTTTCATATTCCTTTCCTCATTATGGATACACTGCCCATCCTTTGGAAGATACACTAAGATGTTGGTCAGATGCTGTTAACCTCATTTACTTCCATGAATTCATGTCAAGTGTATTATGTTCATGGAGGAGATTTTCAAAACCCTACCAAATGGGTTTAGAGGAAGATGGGGCTAACTTCAGATTACTTCTTTAGGCCAGAGGTTTTCCTAGGCACCAGTAATCATCTGATTCTGCTTTCTAAGGCTGCTTCCCTTACTTACAATTCATACATAGAAGCTAAGTCCCTGATGGAAAGGTGTTCTTTACAGTTGTGGGTTTTACCTCAATCTCTGGGCTCCTTCAAAAATAAACTTCGAATATTCTGCTCAACCCTAGTTATTTGAACTCTCTGAGTCTCAGCTCAGTTTATTAACATTATTAATTTGAAGTGGATCTGTATGTCTTACGTCCTTAATACATTGCTTCACACAGGGGCACCAGCTCAGGAAGACTTCGTCTGTTGCAAATTTATGAGGAAGTTGAATATTTATTGTTGGTACTTTTTCACCACCTCCCCAACATCTACCTCCTGACCAGATACCAGTTCTTCTTTTTCCTGTCTCTACATTTCCAATCCCATTAAAAAATGGCCCAATTCTCAGCCTGTTTTCCCCTAGTCCTTGCTAAAACAATGGCTGATGATGGTTTAAGTTAAGGCACCACTTCTCATGAGGTTACTTGTATTTTAACAAAAATCTTTGAAGGGTAAATATTCAAAGTACTGCTTCTCTATGGTTAAGTTTTAGGCAGTGTAAAAAATAGTTTTAGATGGAGATGAAAGGAGTTGGGTGGATTACACAGGACATGGGATGAACAGGGCTGTCACTTTTGTTCAGTTACATGGACATGGTGACAGGCAAGCATAAATGCAGAGATGGCATTCCTGTGCTGGTATGGGGAAAAAGAAGAGAGGCCACTGGTCAGGACATTGTTTGGCCTAGGGAGGAAGAAGATCCAGTACTTTGGCAATTTATTTAAGCTTTTGTTTTTTTGCGGGATAGGGGAGCAAGTAGGGGAGCTCATACTTGAAGCCGAATCCGGCCTCTGTACCCTAACACTGAATTAAATCTCAAGACAGAGTTTTGGGTGGAGTAGAAAAGAATAGCTTCATTGCTTTGCCAGGCAAAGGGGGGCTAGAGCAGGCGATTGCCCTCAAAACTCTGTGGCCCTGACCTGGAGAGGGTAATGAGGAGTTTTATAGTAACCGGTCAAAGAGGAGGGCGTGATCAGCTCATGGACATTCCTCTGATTGGTTGGTGGTGAGGTAAGTGGGAGTCAGCATCATCAACCTTACGGTTCCAACTGGTTCTGGGGTCTGAGTGTTTGTGGGTAGCACACCATTAACTTCTCCCAACTAGTGGGGGTTTCAGTATCTGCAAAACAGCTCAAAGATATTGTTATGTGTATCCCTTGAGGGGGAACCAAGACCCTGCCCCAAGGCTGCACTATTGTTTCTTTTGACTGTTCCTCCCTTGTCTCACATCCCCTCCCTTCTCTAATTAGCAACTGTTTGAACCTGCTCATTGGAACTCAGGGAAGGTCATGGAGGCTGAATGAAGCCTATTTCCTGTAATCAAGAAATGGGGGACACTGATACAGGCTTTGTGCCCAGGAGCCCCCAGGGTCCTGCTAGGGATCATGCTCAGTGCAAGGAGATGTGGAAAATCCAGAGATAAGGAATCTTGGCCTCTGCTTTCCAAGGGATCCTACTCTATGTTGTGGGGGAAATCAGACACATTCGTTAAGAGTCTGCCCGAGTGAAGAATGTGAAAAGAGTTATCACAGAGGTACAACTTACATGCTGGGAAGATGTGTGGTCCATTCTCACTGGGATATCTGGAAGGGCTTCTTGTAGAAAGTGGGATTTTAATTGGACTTAAAAACAAATTGTACTTTGAAAAATTATACTTTTGAAAGAAATGACTTGAGCAAGCGCCTGTCCTCTGATGGAGGGAGGGAAGTCTGGCCTAGTTGAGTGGAGGCGGGAAGGTGAGTGTTATGCTTAGTCTGGAAAACTCGGCAGGGTCTTCAACCCTACGGGCCTTTGAATGTTCGGTTGAATATTTTAGGTTTTATTCTTCTCGCGTTGGGAAGCCATTTAAGATTTAAGCAGGGGAATAATATTCTTAAAGAAAATAACTATGACCAGGATGAATTGAAGGGAGGGAGAAACGACATACTCATTTATCTACAGTTTGGGGAAGAGAGGGAGATTATCTCTAATTCATTAGATGTGCATTGTATCAGCAGGAGCGAAATAAGCAGCATATCTTGATACATAAATCCTCCTCCCATATATGCATTCTTTTTCACCAGGGAGCAAGTATTTGGCAGCCAAGTTATCTTTAAAGTAATAATAAGAAAGCTATTTGGAATAAATGTTTCAGAACCATTTGTTACTTTGCACAGACCTATGAGCAAATAGGATTGAGCTAAAGCATTTACAGTGGTATGTGGTTCTGCAGGGGCCGCCACACTATTACATATACTTTTATCTTGGCTAAACTCTAGCTGTTGCCACTGCTATTACTCAAAGAACTGAAGTGTCAACAAGCTAATCAAAATGGCAAAGTGGGAGTCAAGAGTTTTTCCCCCTGTTTCTTAAAGACTTAGGAAGATTGTTTCCTTTTTATTCCCTATATTCAGAACATAAAAGCCTCCCAGACATCTAATCTTTACTAGGTCAACCATTTCAAAAGGCAGTGGGATTATTTTCCAGTTGCTTTTCAGTTTAAGGCAAGTGTTTTAGGGGCTTCCAAAGCCTCCCTCCTGAATCAATTTATGAAAAAACACAAAAACAAAAAATGAAGTAAAGGCATTATTAACCCAACTACATTGTCTTGGTATAAAAATCCTAACATAGCATAGTGGAAAAAGGTTCTGAATCATGACCTAAGAGATCTGAGTTCTAGACCCAGTTTTGTGAATGCATAGCTTGATGGTTTTGTCAAGTCTTATCTTTAACAGGGAGGGATTAGAATTGTTCTGTATGGTTTCTGTACTATTCAGTAGTATTGTTCACAACTACTTTTCCCTAAGGAGTTTAGAAAATGGAGAGACATATGATAATGTTGCAGGAAGAGGGACCTCTTCCGGGGCCCAAGAGTGGGCTCTTGTCTACCACTCAGAAAAGAATTTTCTGAGGAGACACACATGCTGACAAAGCAGGAGACTTTATTGGGAAGGCGTGTCCGGGCAGAGAGCAGCAGGGTAAGGGAACCCAGGAGAACTGCTCTGCCATGTGGCTCGCTGTCTCAGGTTTTATGGTAATGGGGTTAGTTTCTGGGTTGTCTCTGGCCGATCATTCTGACTCAGGATCCTTTCTGGTGGTGCACACATTGCTCAGCTAGGATAGGTTCCAGCGAGAAAGATTCTGGGAGGTTGGTAGGACATATGGACTGGAGTCTCCTCTCTCCTTTTGACCTATCCCGAATTCTTCCTGTTGCTGGTAGTTTGTTAGTTCCGCGTTCCTTACCAGGACCTCCTGTTGTAAGATAACTCGTGCAAGTGGTTACTATCGGGCCTGGTCAGGGCAGGCGGTTTTGGGCAGTGGTTTCCCTAAAAATAAGATTGTGGTCAACAGTTTTGGGTGGAAGTGATGTGTGTTACTTTTGGGCCAGAACTCACACTGCCAGTGTGAGGCTCCAGAATTCTTTCTCTCTACAAAGATGACTGAGAGAGGTGGCTTTGTCAAGCTGGGGGCAGGAATAAGGAAAATGAAGAGCAGAACTCCTAGGCAGCCCATGATGGGCATGTACAAGGAGCGGGAAATGAACCTTTGTTGTTTTAAACCGCTGAGATTGGAGGAATTATTTGTTACAATAAAATTTCAAGCTTATTCTTTTTTTTTTACATCTTTATTGGAGTATAATTGCTTTACAATGGTGTATTAGTTTCTGCTTTATAACAAAGTGAATCAGTTATACATATACATATACATATGTTCCCATATCTCTTCCCTCTTGCGTCTCCCTCCCTCCCAACCTCCCTATCCCACCCCTCTAGGTGGTCACAAAG